TTTTTTTTTTTTTTTTTATTTGGATTGCCTTTCCTTTTTTTTTTTTTGGCTACTATATAATAGAATAAATATTATAAACTTATATACGTCACTTTTACGTTTGAAATAAAAATTCTATCAATATGTCACTTTGGAAACAAAAGTGACATATCATGTCAATTATATAAGATTTTAACTATAAAATATACAAAAGTTCAATGGATTAAAATGACCTTGCGAACCTCCTCGTTGCTGTAACTCGGTAATCACATGCAAAGCAACGGCTATTTTTCTAGAGGAATTTGGACCATATTTCATTCCCAAATGTACTGTTACATGATACTTATCTCATCCAAGATTATGTTACTTTTAGAACAAAAAGTAGCAAACACTTTATAATCCAATGTCACATGAAATTTACTCTTAATTAAATATTAGTGAAAATTACACCGAGACATATTTTTAAAGATTGTGATTCAAAAATGAGATATAAAGTTTACTTATTCATAAATCAGATAATAATTCAACTATTAATATTATAGCATAAAATATTCACCTCACCTAATTCCATCCAACCTACCAAATTTAATCCAAACCCTAACATTTTCTTTATCTCTCTTCTTCATCCCTCTCTCACACAGCCGGTTGATTACTTCTCTCCCTTCTTTCTCTATTCTTATAGTCGTCGGAAGACTGCCATCGGAAGATCACGACCAATCAACACTTACAGATATGTTCACACTGCTCCATCATAGAGCCGCTATGCAGCAACGATGATGCCGTGTGCGTGTGACGGTGCCGGATGAAGAGCATCGTGATGCTGCTTCGTTGAAGCTCCACTGCACGTTGCGACGCAACTTTGCATTAGCTGGCACTAGTATTGATAGCAGCACGGCGAGCGCTAGCGTTCAGCGACTGCAAAAGGTAAACTTGCTGACGTTGGTAACGGTAGAGTTGCTCGGTGCTGCAAATTGTAGAGTTGCCCAGCAGCTTTGCTCAGCGACAGCAACGTCGATGGCCGGGGAAAAATCAAGGTTTTGATAATGATCTAGTATAATTTATGAAATTATAGGCCCTTGCTTGCAATTTCAAATTGAGAGTCAGTTTACAAATGACGACGGTGGTGGTTGTGGTGGTGCAGTAGGTGGTGGTACTAGCGAATAGCGTCTGTGACCAATTATTTGAGTAATTGTGACCTATAAATTTGTTAATTTATGGTAGTTGTGTTGTGAGCTGTAGTGGTGAGGTGGTGGTAAGGGGGTTGTCATGGTGGTGGTGAGGTTGTTGTGGGTGGGATGGCGTGAGGTGGGGTTTGTGACCAATAAATACTAGGATAATTTTTGTTGTATATTTTTGTGTACAACAAGTTTGACACTCTCCTCACATGAGAGTGGGTCCGCAATTTTAAAAATCATGGCCCCACCCCTCATGTGTGGGGAGTGTCAAACTAGATGTACACAAAAATGTACATCTAACATTACTCTAAATACTATATGATCAATTATTCGAGATTATGACTAATAAATTGGATATTCTGTGACCAATGCGACCAAGAATTTGTAACCAATAAATAATGTGTAAACTAAAAATTTGAGTCTTGATTTATAAAATTTATGATTTGTGACCGATAAATAAATTATTATCTAGAAAATTTTTGATTTATGACCAATTAATTCAATAATTTCTGATCAAATTGTATAAAATTGTAACTTTAATATATTTAAATAATCAAATATATTTTTATTTAATTATTTCTTAAACAAAATTTAATAATATCTGATTTTTGAAATTTTAAAACTCATTTCTTAGTTTTAAAATAGATTAAAATTTGAGGAAATTACACCTAGACATGAAATTAGATTATCCATTTCATAAATCCAAAATCAAGTTT